TGGTTGAGTAAGTGGGACACCCACAGGAAACAATGTTTGGGGAACTCTGTATTGAACAAAGTACATGTGTTTCTTTACTCCATACTTCCCAGTGTTTAGTATGCATTAGTATAATGTGCATTATGGATCTCTGAGTGGGAATGTATCATGCAATCATTTTCTATATTTACTTGAAAACTCAACTTTTTCTTCACTAGGTTTATTATAATTCTGGTATTCTATTAAGCATGTTTGAGAAAGGCAGGCACTCTAATAGTGAACCTTTAGGCTTTATACTCCTGTTACAAAGATTAAAATATGATGTTCCTCAGTCACCCATTTATGGATGGCAGTCTTTAGGGTACATAGTATTATTAACTCATTACTTATGGTTTTCCTTAAGGAAAATCCCTGAAGATTTTTTGCACTTGTCTCCATTTACCACTGAGAAATAATCTGTTTTTAATAGCATGCTTGGTTTTCCTATAGCACTCTTTATTAGCAAGCTGCTGTCTCCTGCCACAATTGCTGATCACATTCTCAGGGTATGACTTTAATTTCAAGTTAAAGCAGCACAATGCTGATGGGTCCATGCACCTTTAAAGTTGTATTATACAATTAATATTAGATTATCAGACTGAGTTACAGAAATAACTTTTTCCTTACAACACTTCCTGAGGGAAGACTTTTTATCAAAAATATTGAATATAAAATGCATATATATCACTAATGTTCATACTGTATTGAATAGTTATGATCTATTATTATTTTAAGTAAATATTCATATATAAGTGCACATATATACACATATATACACACATATATACACATACACACACACAAATATCTATTACTAGTCCCTTACGTATAATCTCATTACCATGAAGCTTATATTTTTGCTGTTCTCTATATATAGTCTTATTGGATTTATTAAAGGCGTCCATTTAATTTGCCACTTACTGGATGAATGTGATCATATCTACCATGTCAGATTAGTATATTACTGTTTTTTATTTTATTTTTTTCATTATATTTGTATTTTCATGATTTTGTTATTAAGCAATTACATATGTTCTGTGAGGCTAGTGATATGTGGATTGTTAGAAAAAACTAAAATATTTGTCAATAAATTATATTTTAAGTAGAGGAAAATTTGGAAAAACAAGGATTTTATTTTATTATGCTTTTTAAAGTTAATCATTCACATAGCTAATAGAATACCAATACAAATAAGAGATACAAAGTGAAATGTTTATTGTCTTAGTCAATATATGAATACATTTCAAACCTTTTCATAACCCTGACAATTGGTGATATATAAATTATAAACTTTGAATCACCATTGGCTAAGAACAAAGGTAATAAATCAAGTTCCAGATATTAAAATTCATTAACAACAATCTCTAAAGATGTTTCTATATAAGTTGAATTACAGGTCAAATTTCTAAGTCTATTAATTATTATCACTGTAGAGTTTATTTTGTAATAATAGGCAGGAATAAGGAAGGGCAATTAAAATGAAAATAAAACACAGGCTTACAGCAAACAACATAGTAAAAACACATATAATGCAAGCAGGCTGTCAACTTGTTTTGCTTGTTCTTTCTCTTGCATTTAAGGGAAAACAGCTCATTGTAAATCATAAATAACAGCATAAAAGAGATAAGAAAAAGAAAATGCTTAGATATTTTAAAGAGAATTTCTTCTTTAATTAAGAGTTGGAAATTTAATGGATTTATATCTAATTATGATACATTACAGAATAAATAACAAAAATATTTAAAAGTGACTTACAATTATAAACACTATAATATTATTTCCCCATATATTTCTTTACATTATTAAAATATTTAATTCTCAAGAACTCACAAACCACTGTGCTAGACTCCAGTTTGTCTCTAAATTGTTTTTGTAGATCATTTTCTCATGCAAATTGAAGTATAGAATGAATATCATTAGATAATCAAAGCATATATATATATATATATATATGTATATATATACATACATATATATACTTACCTTTTTCCCTAATCAATTTCTTTTGAAATGTATTCTAGTAATTTGGAAGATAATCATTTTTAGTTTTAACCAGAAAAAAAATTGTCTGAAATCTATATTTAATTATCTGCTGACTACTGGGTTTTTTCAGCTGTTTTTTTAAAAAGTTTTTTAAGTGATTATACACTATATTTTCTATATTTAACAAGCACATCAATTTTTAATTTTTTTCTCAATTTCATGTCAACACACTCATTACTTTGACAATTACATTTGCCTATTAAGGACTAATTCAAATTCTGAAGGTAGCCCATCTAAGTAACCCCCTAATACCAGGCAGCTAAAGCTAACAAAGGAACTTCTACAAGTGAGGACAGAGTGAACTAGGGTCAGATCATTGCAAAGTAATGAGTACAGATTTTAAATTTAAAATAGCATGGCTATCAACATTCTCTTTGATTACATTCATATCTATGATTTATTTTAAAGTCACTCTCTTATAATTAATTCCAAAAAGATTATTTCTCAACAAAGTATCCTTCTCTTTGTTAAAAAATCAAGTGCATGACAATTATAATACACATTACTTGCAGTTTCGAAAGTCCAGTTCTATGAATTTCAGTGATAGCATGATTTTTACAAGGATATCGGTTGATTATTTTGTTTTATTTTATCAAGTAGACATCAAAATTTTAGTGATCAATTAAATAATCAAGCTTTTAGTGACCACAAACTTTGTAAAATCCACTATGGGAAGGACTAGGGTAGAAAGAGTAAGTCTATAGAAAAATAAGATCATGTACTTTTAAAGAGGCAATAGCAATAAATGCACACCTAAAACTAGAATCAGAATATGACACATTTTATGAAAAATACAATATAGCACTTAGGAAATAAAGAGTGAGGAGAAACATTATTTCTGACTATGATATTGACCATGGTTTTCTTTGCACTGGGCCTTGAATGATGAGTAAGAGTATTAAGGAGAGGTGGAAGTAGATTAGTTCAAGCAAATAAAATACACGGATTAAGAAATTTTAATGGCATACAGGGCCTTTCTAATAAATGCTGGCAGTACAGATTAGTGGGTGTAATGCATAGGTGATGATGAGAAAAGAGCAAAATATCTGAAAAACAAAGGATTGCATGAGACACTTCAAAGGTCTTGAAAATTATTCTAAAGAAGGAAGGGCTACAGTACAAGAAGTCATTCTGTAATATTTCCCCTCAACATGAAAATCATAATGTTCATAATAGATTAGTTAGAAAGCACACTAAATATTCAAAATGAAGGACTTAAATCTATAATCCCAGGGCTGAGGTGATGAGGGTTTTTGAGCAAGAATAAGAAATATGTCAATAAAGCGAAAATTTTAAAAATGTATCCTTGCACTCCAAAGAGTTTAAGTTTGGAGGCATTTACCAGATTGGTGATAAAGTAGCCTTGAACTTCATCAGTCACAAAGGGAATAACAAAGAAGAAATGAAAATGGGAGAGTTTGATTAAAACCCACATGTTGATTATAGATTAATTATATTTAATACTAACGTATTAAATTTAAATGAACTACCATCAAAGGGAATAATTATCAAAAGTATGCCAGATGCAGTCATAAACTGTTTGTATATCATATCATTAAACTGTCACAACATCCCTATGAGGAATACTGTTATTTTCTGATGTTTATAGAAAATGAATTTAGATTTAGATAGATTAAACAGCATGCCTCAGTCAACAGTAAATAATTGTCAGGTTTCAAATCCAAGTTGTGTAGCTTCAGGGTCTCTTCTAAAATGACAATATAGTGTCTGTCAAACGTAGATAAATGATTGTGAGATTACTAGAAGATGAATAAAAGCATCATAATTAATGATGATAAAGCTTGAAGTAGACTCTACTGAAGATCAAAGATAATCCTTCTGAAAATAAACAACATGAATCTTTATAATAATGAGACAAAAATTAAATTATTTTAATGAAATAATAATAGTTAAAACGAGTACTGCTATATAAAAAGGCATTATTTTAAGCTCTTTAATCCTCATGTAATCCTTGCAATAAATGCATGACATAAGTTTTCATATCATTCCTTTTACAGATGACAAAAAGCACAAAGACATAAAGCTAAGTGTTGTAAGCTTAACTTCACAGGAAGAAGGTGGCCAAGTCAAGATGGGGACTGGGTCATAGATTCATTAGATTCTGTTACTTTCTGGTGTTTGGGCAATGTCATCCTTAACAGCAATCTAGAAATTACTTTCTCTCCTTTAGATGTTGAGGGAACTAAGAATATAGTAAATTAGGAAAGTATAGTGACAGTAAGAATAAATTTACTTTTTAATGCACCTGCAGAAGGGAAACCAGATTATTTTGTCATCTCATAACAATTAGTGGGCTTGGTACATGAATGTGAGGATCAGGTTGATTATACACAGAATATATATTATATAGCTTTATGTATTTTATAACTACATGGAGATAATATGTAAAAACTTGAAAATTTATTTTTTAATATAGAACAAGAGAAATAAATGATGAAACAAATGGATATGTGGGAGTGAGGTTAGATTCATAACAAAATATTATAATAACAGTTCTACATTTATACCCAGAAATTCTATTTCATCTAATTTAAATGAAATATAATTATGTATATGCCCCAAATTATGTGTTATATAGAAAAATAAGAAGAAAACATTGAACTTAAGATTCAAAACTTTCCAACATTAAACATTCATATAGCATAAATATTATCACATTTAACTTTGGATATCCAATTATTTTAACCCAAACCATTTTTTGAAAATAATTTTTAAAATTAGTATTGAACTGGAAATTATGTTTATTATAGAATTTTTTTATTGCCCTGAGATAGATGCATTAGATGTTTCCATAATAACTCCATGGGGAATATTTCAAAAAATTTCCTTCCAACAGGCACTTGAGAATATATATGAACAGTCATTGTGTGAGATTTAGTCCTGAAAATCCCTTGTGAAACATAGTATTTTAAAACCATGTGTCACTTTATATGTTCTATTATTGGCTTTCTGAATCATAGAGAATCCTGTCTCCACTTTACTTCTGCCATTACTGTTCAGGTGTTCTTTAGACCTCGTCATATCTACACATTCTCTCACCATCAAGATTTCAAAATCTGCAGCTCCATTTTCTGGTGATAAACCTCTTACCATATCTAACATTTCTTAACCCTTATTGAACTTGATCATTAATCATCAGTTAACATGCTCTGATCCTGTGCTATTTTTGCAGTCCAGCATTGCTGTTCTGGCTTTACTTGTCCCTAAACAATGAGAAAAATAATAGTCAGATATTTGAGGGGCATCGTTTTTTGCTAATTTAGAACACCGTATCCTTATGACTTTCTACCATCTCTGCCTAGCAAATCCCGTTTTGAGTTCCTGTTCATTTTTCCTCTGTCTTTGTTAGTTAGGTACAGTGTTGCAAAACCACACTAATTAGAGCCAGTAAATGGGTGACTATGTAATTAATGTCTAAGTCAGAGACACTTTTCACTTTTAAAAGTGAAAGTTGATATTATAAAACTGGTATAAACCAGCTCTGCCTCAGAGAAACCAGGGTATGTCATCATCCCAACAAAAGTAGACTATTTTCTCATCAGAATCAGCTGTTAACAGGCCTTAAAATTGTCACATTTATTATTATTATTTCTTTTTATTTTTAGCCAGTTCCTTATTAAGCATTTACAGTGTCAGCTTTAAGTTTGAGGCTCAAAAAATTAATCTCTTCCCATCCCAAGTTTATTTCAACAAGAATCAGTTACTTTCCCCTTCTATGAAAAGATTGAGACTTCATCACATAAAATTTTCTCTATCAATAGTCATTTTCCTTGTCTGTCTTTAAAAATAAATCCTTCAATTTTTACTGAAAATTTTATTTATTGTTATACTACTGCATTGGCTTTTTTTTTTTTTTCCTGGAGCAGGGAGGGCAGGAGGTAGAGACTGGGGCCATCATAATCTCTTGGCTTTCCTCATACTACTGATTACAATCTCCCAGAATGTATAAAATACTTTCCAATCCACAGACCTAAGTCATTATCTGAGTTTCTTCGTTATTTACATATATCATTCCACACAGTATTTGCTCATCCATCATAATAGATACAAGTCTTAAGCAATTGTTATCCCCCAACCCACTTTCTATGAATATTATGGTTGATGGAAAAATATCTGACTTTTTTAATGATACCTGACAGAAAGTCCAAAGCTCAACTTATTTTTTACCACTGAGCCTACACATTCAGGATTCCAGTGTAAAAATCACTACATTTCTTTATTTAGTCATAATTCTGAGACCTTGGATTAATTGTAAATGCCCCATTTTCAGTATCTCCAGATAAAATTAGTGACCGGGTTTTATAGGTTGTTCTTCTACTGCACTCCTTACACTTATTACCAAATTGTGCATTATTACTGATACTCTGTCAGTCCCACAGCATATTTCTACCAGATTAAAGCTTAACTGTGATCATTTCAAGCCACTAAGCTATTCAAGAACTTTTCATGATTCCCTTCTTGGAGGCTGAAGTAAGTACATACTCTTTAGCTTTGCATTCAGGGTCTTCTTTTTTCTGGCCTCAAAACATACTCCTAATGGTTTTCTATCACAACATTTCATACATTATCCAGGCTGAATGGCATGATATCTCCTAAGTGCTACCAGAATGTTCATTTTGTCTGTCTCTCTAGGGACATCCCCTGTTGAAATTCCATATTATTCTTCAGGCCTTTATCGTAGCCAATCTCTTCTGTGAGATATGGTATACTCTTTTATCATATTTGAAATCTCCTTTCTTTAATCCCCATTAGCATCCAGTGTTTACTTTTTTAAATTTAATTTACTCTGTCTCATAAACATTATTTGTGTACTTGTTTCACTTTCCTCATAGAGTGTTGTTCTCTAAAGGAGAGGACACGTGCTTTGCTCATGGCTTGAGTACTGGAACACCATGCTTACTAACATTAGTCAATGATCAATTACTTATTGAAATGATTATACAAATGTAACTATTTAAATATTGTAGACATATGTGTATAACTGTAATATAAAAAACAATTTTTGACCTCTCTGCAAAAAAACGAAAGTTGTTTCCAAGGGTCAGGTAGCAAGTATCATTATACCTAATAAATAGTTAAACTGGCTGATGAAGAAAGTTCAGGATTTACTCATAGATAAATCCTAGTCTCTGATAGCTCTGGGAGAAGGGACCAGGTCCTTTATACTCTACTTGCCCTGTTCATTTTAAACAGAGCCCTCTATATGCATGCAAACAGCTGCAGTCATCGTGAAGCAGGTTCAGTCTCTCATTTTCCTTAAATCATCACTGATTTGAGCTTACTGTTTTCTCAATTTAGGCCTAAAAAAAATTATGGCCATTTATTCATTCTCTAATTAACCTAAAAGTGAACTATATTTCATTGCTTGTAGGATGGTATGGGAAATCTGAGAGTCACCAAGAAGGGAATTCGACTTGAAGGTATATCTGAGTTTCTACTTCCATTGTATGTGAAAGAAATTCATTCCCGAAAGGTATGTGATACTGGCTTTGGCTTACTGTAAAAGATAATTTAGAGGTGATGTTTTAGCTTGAAGTAGGAGGATAGAACCCCCTTATCTCTTCAGTATGTTTTTAAGTTTTCTTAAGCTAAAGACTTAATTGAAAAAAAATCAAAACAATGAAACAATTGAAAAACCAGTGAAGGTTAGTTTCAAACTAACAAATTAGAGAACCATTTTGAATTAAATTTCAGTATTGTTTCTGTAAGTCTATAAAGCTTGCCCCTTTATTTTCAATGGAAGTTAAAAATACACAGTTATAGTAATCCCAAAAGGGGCATTTGATGTATCTTGAATAAGAGTTTTAGGAAGCATTGAGTTGAATAAATGATTTTAGTTTAATATATTATAAGTCCTTTTAGTTTTAATGGACATGCATTTTCTAAGAGATGACAAAGATCTTAGTAGAGAAATTAAATTTATTTCTTGATGCACATTATTTGAAACAAGTAAGAATATTTATCCTTTCAAATGTGTGTGTGTGCCATGTGTGTTTTATGACTTGGTAGCATGTTATAATTCAAAAGATTGTAATTTAGACATTATTTATTTTGGCTTAAGTGTGTTACCTCTTAGAAGGTAATAAGTATTCTTGGGTACACCAAAATCTAACTAGAATATTTCAAATCTATTAGGCACTCCCCTGGGATATGTGTGTAGGTGTGGAAATAAATTTATTAAGACAGAAAAAATGGAAAGCTTGTTATATAAAATATGGAAAGATTATGAACCTTATTTCATAAATATGAATGTCAATTTTAGACTAGAATAATTTTTCAATATTCCTAATATAATAGCAAATGGGTTGCATAGTAAGGCATGATTATATAAAATGCTTCAATGCTATTCTCCCTTAAATATCAAAATGAAAACAGAACAGAGGATTCTTTTACATATAACTTTTAATTATGATAATTATATTAACTTTAAATTTTATTTTGTTATATGTGAATTGCAGAACTTCGCTAATATTCCGGGTGCCAAAAAAATTTATACAAAGCGGACACTTTGGTCCATGCTGCTCAAGCAGTAGTTCGCCATAATCAGAAGCGTCTGGACGCTGATGGGAACCACTTTGAGCACCTCTTGTCATTGCAGAAGTCAAACGTGACTTGTATTCATCTTTTGTTACTGATATATATATTGAGTATTACAATTTTAAAAGCTTTTTCCTTTCTTAAAATGTGTATATATTTTTTTGGCACCCTCTGTATATATTGACTGCTTCTCTGGGTACTAGAAATTGAATACTGAGATTACATTCTGGATTTTGGTCAGACAAATAACACATAGACACATGTATTAACACTTACATGTATAACCTTACATGACTAAACTATAAAAATAATTAACCTTAAAATTTGAAAAAATCGATGGGCATTTTTGTTTTATTTTTATGAAAAACTGAAAAATAACATGCTTACACGTTAGTGTCTTCCCTCTGATTGGACATCACCACCACTCACAGTTATTTCTTGTTGTGTTCGGCACTATGAAACAATTTAATATTTGAAGAAATGAAAAGAGACACAGAAATCAAGACACTGCTTAAACATAAGAAGAAGGTAAGAGCATCATAGGCAGGAAGTTCTTTGAAAATGCGTCCATTTTAGACCAATTTGTAGTGGCTGCCTGGAAATATAATTCAGAGGACTGTGAAGCCCTATGCCAACAGGCAGGTTATAAAGTGTACCTTCCCAGCGAGAACATTTTTGAGAGTGTAACAGGTGTTAACTAAGATTCTCCTGAGAAACTGGGATAAATGTTCACTCCATCTATGGACCTATTGAGAAAGAGTCCACTGACTTTATAACATTAAAGTGTGAGGTGGTGGCAGTTGGGCTCCCTAATCTTTATCCCTGGGAAAGTTTGCAACCTCAAGCTCACCAGTATTTCTAAAGCCCACTGATTGAAGTTTCTATTTTCTTTTCATATCGCCTACCTCTCGGGTCTCCTCTCATTATCGTTCGCCTCTAGGTAAACGCTCAAGACACAGTGCAGGCTGGAGGGAGGGTGTTCCTTCCGCAGTCAGACAGGGAGTGTGGCTTGAGAACAGAAAAGGAAGGAGACCCATTTGCTTGCTGGAATTTTCTCTATACATATACTATAAACATAAAATTTTAAAATACAGAGAAAAATATAGAGTGTATAAGCGGTTTCCGCATTAGGATTTCTTGTCCGTGAACTCATGCTGTTGTTTATTCCCTGCCAGAAAGCCTATTCACTGTTTCAATCAGCCACAGTTTTCCTGAGCCTTAGTTTTCTCACTACTAAAGTGAGTTTTGTAGAAAATCCTTAAAATACTTATTTCTTCGGTTAAGAAAAAAATACAAAGAAATTCAATAATACTAGTAGAAATTAGATTTAAATTTTAAAATATTCCATTGTACATGTCAATCTTTCCACCCATTTCCATGTGTTCAAATATTTGCATGATAAAATGTCAAAGTTCCTGTAGGCTTAAGACAAGGAAATCAATTAAATTCAAAAGGTACTTATTAAGATTCTATTAAGCTGATAAAAATAATACAGCATACAACAATTTTGATTTGTACAAATTTTTTCCCCAGTTTTGATTTGTGTGTTTGTGTTTGCATGGGTGTGTGTGTTTTCTTGTACTAATACTGAAAGGCTGTCTTCTTTATGTTTAATGAGTATTCTACTCTAAAATAAAGATTTTTTTAATTTTTTATTTAAAGGTACTTCTGGTTATGTAGGTATTTAGTTCTATACATGGAAAGGTAATAGAGAGGTGTCTATTTGTCAGAAAATGAAGTTGCCATCACATACACACTTCTAGTCTCCTAACCTGATAAACTGCAGGCTGTTTCTACAGGCTAACCCCCCCCCACCCCCACCACCAAACTTCTGTAGATATTTGAAGTTCTGTTATTATCTATTATAGTTACTCTCTTCTTCATGCTTTAAAAAAAATCAACAATTTCTACCTGGTCCATCATATCAGTAAGCAGAAAAACATATTACATTCTCTGTTTGAAATATCTTAGAATTCAGTGCATCTCTCAAAATTAACAATGTTGTTTTCAGGGAGTAAGCACTCAGTGAACATTTGTGAAATTAAATATATAGTTTTCTTCAGGGGCTACCTTAAGTAAATGATAACAATGATATTCTGAATCAATCTTCGATGCACATGGTCAAACATTAGGTTAAAATTTTTGAAATAGCAGGAAAGTAGGACATAAAATTACCCATTTTTTTGTTTGTTTTTAAATGTAATTAGAGTACATTTCCAAAGGTTCATGAGTCTAGAATACTAAGGTGGTTAAATTAGGTGCATTTCCCTGATTCTTACCAGAAATTTTGCATCACACAGGTCTCTAGAACTAAAGTATCATCTAACTTCAAATGATACTAAGCTAAACAGCTTCCTTGTTTATTTTCTTCTGTCCGACGATCCTTAGTTAAAGTGGTACCTTATCACTGTCCCCCCTACCCCCACCCCACCCCAGATCCCAGCATCCTGCATGACAGATGGATAATTGTGCCAGGGAACTACTACCGGATCATTTCAGTTACAATAACTCCACAGCAAAGCCAAGCCATTTGTGTTCTTTATGATTCCTGTGTTAGCAGGCTGTGTTCTCCCCTTCATGCCCTCATTTCACCTGGCATCAGAGCTGCAATGCTAAATCAGTTCTTGGTTACAACTAGTTTTTGTTTGTTTTGTTTTGTTTTGTTTTACCTTGTGGGTTCGGTGCTTCTTTATAGAATTCAGACACAATGCCATGGGGCCAGAATGCCTCAGCAAACCTCTTTCCTGGTTATGCAATACACTAATCTCATGACCCTGTCTCTTTGGGGCACCTTTCTCCCACACAACTCTCTATGCCGGTTTCTTTTTCCCATACAAACCAGTTCATACAAAGCAGTATCTGCAGGCTTCTATAATCATTTTATCATCATCATTATTATCATATTGCCTTTAAAAGTTTCATACATATGAAATGTATTATGTTACCGTAATGTCTTTATTCAAGTTAAAAATATAACTATAAATCATCCCAATCTTTACACTCAGAGAAAACAAAAAACAAAAAACTGCTAACGTGGTGAACATCATAGTTATATAATTATACATGTGCACAAACAAAAAGATAAATATGTAGATATATATATATATGCATGCTATTTATAATTAATATATTATACATAATTTAATGGAAGAAACATTCTCAGAACTAAATTAAAAAGAATTGCTGAACTTAAATATTTCTTCACCACAAAAAAATGTTTAAAGCATGTGTTTATGGTTAAGAATAAAAGCTTATGAATACCATTAAGGAGCTGGCTGCATTAGCACTATGTTTTAATTTCAGACAGTGTTCATTAACTCCCTGCAGTGCAATTTGAGGTGATTAGCTCCTCTCCAATTTGTCCTCACCCCTCTTCATTTTCAATTTTTTGAACAATTATATTATTTTAACTTTCTCCAAGTTCACAGTATTTGCATTCTGTTCTGCAACGTTAATTGCCTTGGCACTTTGGTCTTAATTCTATATAGAGAGGCTGCAGCACTGCCACCAGCCCTCCTTTTATTATGGCTGCTCTAGGATTGAGTTCATTATTCAAAACATTCCTTCCGTACTTGTATTTCACTGTTAATTAGTTTTGTTTGTTTGTTTGTTAACCCCTGAAACATTTCATTCTAAAGGTGTCTGACTGTTTTCTTTATTCTTTGTTGGGAATATTATTAATGGTTCATCATTTATTTTCCTGTTAACTCAGGGCTCTATTAAATTCTAGCACTGAATATCACCATAAAAAGTCCGAGGGTCGCCTGGTATTATTCTCTTGCCGATGACATGAATGTCCTGTCTGGATTTTGATACATTTTTGCCATTTCACTTCTTTTATGTCAGGGGAATTTTCTCTATTATATCACTCAGTACCTTTCAGTTTCATTTGTGGAGTCTTTACCTCAGAGAAAACAGTAATTCTTATGTTGGATC